TTCCTTTCCTTCTTTCCTTTCCTTCTTTCCTTTCCTTTCCTCCTTTCCTTTCCTTTCCTTCTTTCCTTTCCTTTCCTCCTTTCCTTTCCTTTCCTTCTTTCCTTTCCTTTCCTCCTTTCCTTTCCTTTCCTTTTTTCCTTTCCTTTCCTTCTTTCCTTTCCTTCTTTCCTTTCCTTTCCTTCTTTCCTTTCCTCCTTTCCTTTCCTTCTTTCCTTTCCTTCTTTCCTTTCCTTTCCTTCTTTCCTTTCCTCCTTTCCTTTCCTTCTTTCCTTTCCTTCTTTCCTTTCCTTTCCTTCTTTCCTTTCCTCCTTTCCTTTCCATTCCTTCTTTCCTTTCCTGCTTTCCTTTCCTTTCCTCCTTTCCTTCTTTCCTTCCCTTCTTTCCTTTTCTTCTTTCCTTTCCTTCTTCCTTTCTTTTCCTTCTTTCCTTTCCTCCTTATTTCCTTCCCTTCTTTCTTTTCCTTCTTTCCTTTCCACCTTTTCTTTTCTTTCCTTCTTTCCTTTCCTTCTTTCCTTCTTTCTTTTCCTTCTTTTGCTGTCCTCCTTTCTTTTCCTTCTTTCCTTTCCTCCTTTCCTTATTTCCTTCCCTTCTTTCTTTTCCTTCTTTTTCTTTCCTTTCTTTTCGTTCTTTCCTTTCATTCTTTCTTTTCCTTCCCTTCTTTCCTTTCCTTCTTCCCTTCTTTCTTTTCCTTCTTTTCCTTTCCTCCTTTCTTTTCCTTTCTTCCTTTTCTTTCCATTCCTCCTTTCCTTTCCTTTTTCCCTTCCTTTCCTCCATCTTTCCCCTTCCATTCCCTTCTTCTCCATCACTGGACGTTTTCAGGAAGAGACTGGATAGCCCCTTGTCTGAAATGGTAGAGACTTTCCTGCTCATGCAGGGAGTTGGACTAGATGGCCTTCAAGGTCCCTTTCAACTCTGTTATTCTGCGTCCTGTATTCCTCTCCTCCCTTCCCCTCCAGTTGCAGCATCCCCACGGTGATGTGATCCAAATGCAGGTGCTTGCTAACTGGTTCCTATTTACGACGGTCGCAGTGTCCGGGGGTGTGTGTCACGTGATCCCCTTTTGCAACCTTCTGACCACCAAAGTCAACGGGAGGGCCCGAGTCACTTAACAACCGTGTTAGTAAATTAGCAGCTGCAGTGATTCACTTAACAACGGTGGCAAGAAAGGAGAAAAAAAAACCAGACTTAACTGTCTCGCTTTGCTGCATAAACCTTGGACCCGGTTATGGCCGTAAGTCAAGGACTACCTTATGATGGTTACGGAGTCGTGGGCCAGAAGCCAAGAGCTCGCCCATCCCCGGATTCGTTGCTCAATTGACCTTTTTGCACAATGCCTGGTTCAATCCCAAGTCCATCGTGATCTTGCAAAATTTAATTTCGTAATTAGCGGTGGGAAGGATAAAAAAAACCGAAACAAAACGAACGCCGGTTCCTCCCTTTTGTTACCGGGGCGATCAATCACGGCCGTGAATAGCGGCTGATTTCAGGATCAGAAAAGGCCTCTTCACACTTCAAAAAGACCGAAAATTGGGGACAGGGTGGGTGGGTGGAGGGACACGAAGGTGATTCAACGTAAGTCTTCAGCGAAAGCAACAGGAATCCTGGCTCCCTTTGGTTGTGTAATTGCGCGGTTTTCTTTGTTACCTTTTAAAGAGCAAGACAGTGATTGGGAATAACATAAGAGGCCCAGCTGTAGTGATTACCCAACAATGGCTTATTGTTAATCCTGGGCAAACTTAGCCAGTTGCGGTTTAACAGAACATTACGACAAGAATTGGAAGGGATGCTGGGCATGGCTAGTGAAGAGAAGGACCACGGGAGACAGGATAGCAGTCTTCCAATATTTGAGGGGCTGCCGCAGAGAGGAGGAAGGGGGTCGAGCTATTTTCCAAAGCACCCAAAGGCTAGACGAGGAACAATGGATGGAAAACGAACAAGGAGAGATTCAACCTAGAAATAAGGAGGAATTTTCTGACAGTGAGGACTATTAACCAGTTGCCTTCAGAAGTTGTGGAAGCTTCGTCACTGGAGGCTTTCAAGAAGAGACTGGACTGCCCTCTGTCAGAAATGGTGGAGGGTCTCCTGCTTGGGCGGGGGGTTGGACTAGATGACCTCCAAGGTCCCTTCCATCTCTGTTAATATGAATCTGCCTAAGATGATCAAATGCCTAGAGACTAAAACATACGATGAACAGTTGCTGGAACTGGGCCTGGCTAGTCTAGGGAAGAGAAGGACCAGGGGAGACAGGATAGCAGTCTTCCAATATTTGAGGGGCTGCCACAGAGAGGAGTTAGGGGGTCAAGCCATTCTCCAAAGCACCCGAAGGCCAAACGAAGAATGGATGGAAACTGAAGGAGGAAAGATTCAACCTGGAAATAAGGAGGAATTCCCCGACAGGGAGAACAATCAAATTCCCAGAATTCCCGAGTCCACTTGAAGTCCACACACGTCATCAAAAGGAGCCATCATCCCCGTTGTCCCATCCCCGCTCTCTGCAGTTCTAACGCCCGCCTCTCCTTATTCCCCCCCCCCCCAGCAAATCATGAAAGACCGCTGGATGAATGTGGGTCACGAGGACGATGAATTGAAGCCTTACGTGGAACCTCTGCCAGACTACAAGGACCCACGGCGGACAGGTACAACGTTAGGAAGGGGTAATGGACTAGGCCAGGGACGTCCAGCGCGTGGCTTGCAGGCCAGATCCGGCCCACAGGGTGCTTAGATCTGGCCCACGGGACCCTCCCATGTTGCTTCTGCCAGCAAAAATAGAGCCTGAGGGGGGGCAGATGTCACAAGCAGGCCCCCTGAGCTCCGTTTTCGCTGGCAGAGAGCTGCAGGAGGCCATCGCAGCCGAAAACAGAGCCCTGATGATGTGATGTCAAGCTGGCCACGCCCCCTCATAGGGTGCTTAGATCTGGCCCGTGGGACCATCCCATGTTGCTTCTGCCAGCGAAAATGGAGCTGGGGGGTGGCCCAAGCAAGCGCTTGAGCTCTGTTTTTGCTGGCAGGAGGCCACCGCGGCCGAAAACGGAGCCCTGATGATGTGATGACAAGCTGGCCACGCCCCCTCATAGGGTGCTTAGATCTGGCCCGTGGGACCATCCCANGGACAGCGCTGGCTCTTCGGCTTTGAAACGGAGATGAGCACCGCCCCCTAGAGTCAGGAACGACTGGCACGTATGTGCGAGGGGAACCTTTTACCTTAACCACGGGGATGCTGCAACGTTCGTATGTGTGAAAATTGGGTTCTACGTTTTTCCAGTGTTAATTGTTGAACGGTCACTCAATGAAGTGTCGTAAGTGGAGGACTGCCGGTGCTTGGGGGAAGCCCCTGACTAGGTTGGTGTCTTTCACAAACATAACCAGTAGGTGGAGTTCACAGAACACACACACATGCACACTCGGCCTGGTCCACGAAAGACACAGTGGCTGTGGTCAACGGGTGGGTGGCTAATCTTGGCTAACCTTTCTGGGACTTCCAAATGTCAGCCTGTTTGGTGAATCGTGGTTCCGTGTGTTGGGTGAACGGTTAATGCAGTAAACCCTCCGTGTGTGTGTGTGTGTGTGTGTGTGTGAGAGTGAGAACCCCTGCTCGCTTCGGGGTTTAATCCCCGAAGCGAGCAGCTCCCAGGCTAAGTACCAACCTCAGGCCTCTTTTGGCAGCCACGTGGCTCGGCAGGAGGGCCAGCGTCCATCAACCAATAGTCCAGATCATGAGGTGGCCAAAGAGGGACCCTTCCTTGTCTCGCCTGCTGTTCTCCAGATTGTTGGGCTGCAGTTAATCAAAGCTGCTTTTGGGGAAGTGAAGGGTTAATCCTGCGCGCTCCCCTGTGGGAAACCCAGCCGTGGCCTTTCCTGGGCTCCACTGTGCAAAATTTATCCTTGTCTCTCCTCTCCTTCTTCCCTTCTACTCATTTCCTTTCCTTCTTTCCTTTCCATTTCCTTTCCTGCTTTCTTTTCCTTCTTTCCTTTCCTCCTTTCCTTATTTCCTTCCCTTCTTTCCTTTCCTCCTTTCCTTTCCTTCTTTCCTTTCAATTCCTTCTTTCCTTTCCTTCTTTCTTTTCCTTCTTTTCCTTTCCACCTTTTCTTTCCTTTCCTTCTTTCCTTCTTTCTTTTCCTTCTTTTGCTTTCCTGCTTTCTTTTCCTTTCCTCCTTTTCTTTCCTTTCCTTCTTCCTTTCCTGCTTTCCTTTCCTTCTTTCTTTTCCTTTCCTCCTTTCCTCCTTTCCTTTCCTTTTCTTCTTTCCTTTCCTTCTTTCCTTTCCTCCTTTCCTTTCCTTCTTTCCTTTCCTTCTTTCCTTTCCTTTCCTTCTTTCCTTTCCTCCTTTCCTTTCCTTCTTTCCTTTCCTTCTTTCCTTTCCTTTCCTTCTTTCC